CATGGAGACAATTTAAAGTAATTGTGCTGTCCTGGTCTTGGGACCACTGAGTCAACTGGAACACATTATCTGTGTCCACTAAGACAATTTAAGATAATTGTGCTGTCCTGTTTCCCAGGTACAGAAAAATGTGCTTTCTAAAACCAGTAAGATAACAATCAATGGGATAGTCATTCAATCCAATGGGATGATGTATACCATTCAGAAAATCAAAATAACCTGTCCATTGTTAAACAAAGCAAATAGGTACATAAGCCAAACAGCAGGGTTAAAGTTAAACTATAATTTCTACCTGAGATGGTTGCTACCATACTTCATAATCTGAGTCCTCTACCCTTTACTTGGAGGGGGCAAGTAAACAGGAGAAGTGACTGTTGGCCTGAGCTTCTGAGAACCAATCAAAGGGTTGGCACTCTGAGGGTATGTATGGTTGTGCCACACTGAAAAAGGCTCTTTGGTCCCTTTGGGAAGGATGTGAGACAACAGGAACTTTTATATTCTGCAAAGAGGGGTGCAAATAAGGACAACCTCCTAGAAAACAGTTTGGCATTAATTAGTAAAGCTGAACATACCCTGCATACCCTATAACCTGCTTCCATTTCTGGATTTATATTCTGGAGAAACTTTCAGATGTTCCCAGGAACATTGTTCATTATGACCAAAATCCTGAAAATAACCCAATCTCTCAGCAGTAGAATGGATAAATTAAGGTGCATTCATACAATGAAATATATAAAGCAATGAGAACAAATTATTGCTACATGAAACATCAAGATGAATTGTACAGACATACTATTAAGCAAAAAAAGCCAGACCCAAAAGAATGTTTCCTGTTATATAAAGTTAAAAAACAGACAAAACTCATTTGTAGTAGTAAAAATCTGAATAACGGCCCAGCCAGTGTGGCTCAATGATTGAGCATCGACCTATGAACCAGGAGGTCACGGTTCAATTCCTAATCAGGGCACATGCCTGTGTTGCAGGCTTGATCCCCAGAGTGGGGTGTGCAAGAGCAGCCGATCAATGATTCTCTCTCATCATTGATGTTTCTATCTCTCTTCCTCTCTCTGAAATCAACAAAAACATATTTTAAAAAAATAAAGAAACCAAAACAGAGGCCAGAGAAATTAAATGACTTACTCAAAGTGATTCAATCTGATCTAGAACCTAGGTATGCCTTTTGGCTACTTGTCAAGTGCTCCTCCCACCGACCCACCCTGATTCATTTAGTTAGTCCCAGTTTCCTAATATCTTCCAGTGTCACATCTCTCATAAGACTCACCTATGTTACAGCTTTTTTTTCCTTCTAAATTTGACATTTTTGTTGTAGGGAAAGGAGATCAGGTGAGATATCCTTTCCTCCACAGATATTCTAAACACAAAACTAGTCAAAATATCTAATAATAGAGAACAGTCTGGGTCTATTTCTCTGATAGTTATTTTGACTTGTTAATGTAGCTCTCCCACTGTATGGCTGCTCCAACACAAAGGCTGACGTTTGAGCCTCTGTGACACAAAGGAAAAGGGAAGGGTCTGAAAGTTGATAAAAGAATATGCTTGTCCCTTCTCTTTGTCCAAGCACAAGGTCTCTTTAGAGAAGAGTGAGCTCTTCTGCCACCTTGTGACAGAGAATGAGAATAGTGGGCCCTCAGATCCTTTCCAATCCCCCCCTCCAGGTGGCAGCATTGCCACATGGCATCTAGGAATTCACAGGAAAAAAAATGAAATAAAGTTGACAGGGGGAAGTTTCTTAAACTATAAGGGAGCAGAGAATCATGTAACCATGTTGAGGAAATAGTAACCAAAACCCATGTGCCTTACCCCTAGCAGAATCAGGCAACTGTGGCAGGGAAAAAGGAATGCGATAATGCTGCTCTGGACCAGTAAGACTTGAGGTACTTATGTTCCCTCTACTTAGCTGGCCTCACTTCTCTGCTCCCTTCCATAGAAAAATTCCTTGAAAAGATTATGTACACATATTCAGCTCCAACTCCCTCTCAGCCTCTCCTACTTCCACCACTCTGCTGAAACTGTTCTTATAGAGTTGTCAAATATAGTGGACAGTCTGTTATCGTACACACCTCTCAGCATTTGACCAACTGATCATTTCTTCCTTGAAATACTCGCCTTTCTTGGCTTCTATGGCATTCACTCTCTTGGTTTTCTTAGCTCAAATGTCACCTCCTCAGAGAAGTCTTCCCTGACCACCCTATTTAAAGTGACTTCTGCCAGTAACCCTTCATCTCATATTCTGTTCTTTGCCTCACAACAACTATCACAATCTCTAATTATCTTATATATGTATTTGTATATTGTTTATTATTAGCCCTTTGCACTATTTTATTTTTCACCAGGTTTGTTGTCTGCTTTCCATCTTTTCATGTGAACATAGACTTGATCTTGCTTACTGCTAGAATAGTGTCTAGCACAGGGGTGGGCAAACTTTTTGACTCGAGGGCCACAATGGGTTCTTAAACTGGACCGGAGGGCCGGAACAAAAGCATGGATGGAGTGTTTGTGTGAACTAATATAAATTCAAAGTAAACATCATTACATAAAAGGGTACGGTCTTTTTTTTTTTTTTTTAGTTTTATTCATTTCAAACGGGCCGGATCCGGACCGCGGGCCGTAGTTTGCCCACGGCTGGTCTAGCACATAGTAGGCCCACAGTAAATACTTGCTAAATGAAAGGCACTGTGGCTGAATGTTCAGCACTTCTCCTCCTTCCAATTTCAGGCAACATGTTGCCCTTTGGTGACAGATATCTCTTTCCTTTTTGTTTTCCAATATTTCCCTTAATGCTCTATTTAGCCAGATTTCAACCTGAGTTAAAATGTCAGGCAACAGGGTAACATTTAAATCATGATTTGACTCAGATCTAACGAATTCCCTCATGGAATGTCCCTATTCATCATTATCAATCAGAGTATCGGCCTCTGGAACCTTCTTTCACATAGCCAAACCTATGTTGACTCCAATGGAGTACATTTACAGTGGGTAGAGAGAATACAGAGGCTCTGGGCTTAGGCAGAGGACCTAAATACATCCTCATTTCTGCTTTATGATCCATCTACCTATACTGTCACAAAGTCTACATAGTATTATTAAAATATGCAAGTTTTAAATATCTCCAACAACAGTTATCTGTCTAGGAAAACCTTCCCAAACTGCAGGCAGTCTCTCTCATCTAGGGTATTTTGCTCTTCTTCACAACCTCTCAGCCCAATAGTCATGGGAAGGTGGTTTACCTATACTCACTTCACTATTCAGGGGTGTGAAAATGTACAAAACTAGACAGGTATGTCTGTGCTGATGTAATTCTATGTGTGTAACTGTGAATGAATACTAGAGATCGTTTGGTCAGAATATTTGCAGAGAAAAATTTGAGATGCGAAGAAATCAAGCAATTTTCTCAAGAGGACGTAGTTAATAATAGCCTGTATTAGAACCCAGTTCTCTTAATTCCTAGTGCAGTGCTTTCTCCAGTGCAACTCACCAACTTATTCAGTCCCAGTTCCCTGCTCTACTCTGTAAATCACTTTCCTTAATTGAAATCTCTTTATCTCTTTATCTCTGTATGTTGGTGTGTAAATCTATATGCCTGTCTTAGTGAGCATGCTTGTGAATGTCTACGTGTCTACCTGCAAGTATTTATAAAGCATATCACTGGGCGTTTATGCCCTTTCTCCTAGGGAAACCTCTTGGTAATTACCATTTCTTATGTTGGTAGCAGTGATCAGGGAAGACCTTCTGAGTCAATCATTAACAAGCAGACTTGGTCCTCTCTCCAATCAGCTCTATTCCTGGGTCTTCAGGAAATGGGGCAAGATAATTAGGGTGGAACCAGACTCTCCCAGGGTCAAACTTGGTTCTAGGGCAGTGAAAATGCCTAGAGACAAAGCTATAAGGGGCAGTGACAGATCAGCAGCATACTGTCTCTGCAAGGAGCATGTGCTCAAGCTGACATGGATACCATCTTGGTCTTCAGCCTAATCATTACATCCTATGATGCCAACAAGAAAGGTAAGTGCTACTCTAGCCTAATCTCCTGGAAAATCCAAAAAGAGACCTATAAAGTGTTTGGGGGTCTCTTCTGGCAAATAGAGATATAGCCAATACTCAGTTGGCAATGCTTTCCAATCATCCTATGAGTCCTCTTGCAGGACTGCAACTTATTCAACCCAGAAAGATAGCTGTCTGTTTCATGGTGAGAAGCCTTCAGAGAATGTCTTGTTCATGTAACTAACATCAGAGTCCTTTCACATGGCTATCTCTCCTGGAGGGTGCTGTCACAAATTCATAGCCCCTCATAAGATGTCTTCCTTTTTAAGGTGTTACATCCAAATATGTGGGGATGCTCTTGGGAGGGGAGAGCTAAGAAAAGGGTGGTGTGGAGGTGAAATGGCACCATTTTCTGCTCTTTGATAACTGTTCATTTAAAACATGATTTTCAAAGTGTCCTAAACATTTCATCGCTATAATTAGCTCACCAGAGTTAAGGCCAAACAGTATAATGTGCAGTAGTAGCAAATTTAGCAAATGAAGAAAACTCACACAAAAAAAGAAGAAAAGAAAAAGAAAACTCACAACACCCTGTGAGTTATATAGCAAAAAGCATAAATTACTATGACCTATGGTTCCATAGAATTCAGAAATATATCTTGTTCAAGGTTACACTTAATAAACTTTCAAAAGTTTTAAAACAAGAGCAGGAAGGAGAAGAGGTAATAATCAGTGTTTGAAGGAAAAGGTTGGTTAGTCTTTCATTAACTTCATTTAACTCTATTTTACCTCCCCAACCCCAAGGATAATAGATTGGTACTCAATTTTCTTTATTCTAGTCTAACTTCCTCTTATATATACTTTTAAGTCTTTGGGAGAAATTTTTATATTACCAATTGCAAGCTTTGAGAGAAGGAACTACATTATTTTGTATCTCCCTCTCCAGTGCCTGAAATTCTAAACAGTAAAGCCTGACCTTTTTTTTTTTTTACTTCCAGAACTCAGAGATAGCCATTGTCAAGTGGAACAGCTCCCTGGGCTCTTCTCAATGGGTATGAGAAGCACCAGGGATGTGCTAATGCCAGGTATGGAATGAGCTCTCCCTTCCTGAAAAAAAAAATCACTTTGCCAGAAAGTTTTTACTTTTAAAAGATGCCTATCTCTCCCATTCCTAGCTCAGATCTCAAATACCCTATTTTAAAATATATATTTTATTGATTTTATACAGCAAGGAAGGGAGAGGGATAGAGAGTTAGAAATATTGATGAGAGAGAAATATCGATCAGCTGCCTCCTGCACACCCCCTATTGGGGATGTGCCTGCAACCAAGGTACATGCCCTTGACCGGAATTGAACCTGGGACTCTTCAGTCCCCAGGCCACCACTCTATCCACTGAGCTAAACCCGTTAGGGCTCAAATACCCTATTTTAAAGATACGTATTCCCCCAAAAGGCTTTCTGGAAACCAATATTTTAAAATATATATATATATATATATTTTTTTAAATACATTCTATTGATTTTTTACAGAGAGGAAGGGAGAGAGACAGAGAGCTAGAAACATCGATGAGAGAGAAACATCGACCAGCTGCCTCCTGCACATCTCGTACTGGGGATGTGCCTGCAACCCAGGTACATGCCCTTGACCGGAATCGAACCTGGGACCTTTCAGTCCGCAGGCCGACGCTCTATCCACTGAGCCAAACCGGTTTCGGCTAAAATATATTTTATTGATTTTTTTACAGAGAGGAAGGGAGAGGGATAGAGAGTTAGAAACATCGATGAGAGAGAAACATCGATCAGCTGCCTCCTGCACACCCCCTACTGGGGATGAGTCCGCAACCAAGGTACATACCCTTGACTGGAATCGAACCTGGGACCCTTCAGTCCACAGGCCGACGCTCTATCCACTGAGCCAAACCAGTTAGGGCTGGAAACCAATTTTTGAATTAACTCTTATTAGCTAAGGCATGGCTATATAAATCAAAAAAGGGGTGAAGAAAGAGAAGGAGGAAGTACTCAACCCCTCTGCATTAGAGAAGACAATCTATGAGCATTTCTCTGGGCTGAAATTACTGCAGTTACCTATCTTCATGGGATTCATGGTAGGAAGAAAGAAAGGCAGGTTTGTATATTAAGTACCATAAGCACATACTAAGGAAAAAAATCAACTAAAAAGAGACAAAAATACAGCAGTGGAGTTTAACGAGTCAATACAGTAGTTCAGCCATTCAGATTAAGAACCAGCTTCCTGTCCAGGCAGTGTGGTTCAGTGGTTGAGTGTCGACCCAAGAACTGGGAGGTCACAGTTTGATTCCCCATCAGGGCACATACCTGGACTGGGTGCTCAGTTCCCAGTGAGGAGCGTGCAGAAGGCAGCTGATCGATGATTCTCTCTCATCATTAATGTTTCTCTCTCTCCCTCTCCCTTCTGTTCTGAAAGCAATAAATATATGCCAGCTTCCTTTATTCTCTTTGGCTGCTCTCTTTGCAGAAGCTCAAGCAGAAGACAACAGGTCCACCTTCGTCCAAATTCTGACTGTGGCTACCCTGCAGTGCCTTGCCTCTGGGAGCAAAGTAAAAGTCAGCCTTGAATATTCAGAGAAAAGGCCAAAGGTCAAGCATACTCTAAAGAACCTGAGAGTTATTGCTGCTCCCCATAGAAACAGCACTGCTTTCCCAAGCTGTCACCTAACCTCCACATCCAACTTTCAGAATGGATCTCTTCTAACAGGCAAAGGTGAGATTGGAACATGAGGTGAAGGTAGGCATGACTTTTACTTATAACCCTGAATGCAGGTAGAGCTTAGTAGCAGCTAATGCCTCAAGGAAATGGATTATCCTCTCCTTTGGCAAATCTATGTCCTCTCTGAGACTCAGTTTTCTAATCTCTAAGGGCCCTTCTAGTCCTGACATGCGGCAATTTTCACATGCTCTCATTTCTGATGGGTCGTCTTTCACAATGGTTATTTGATTTTGATTTACTCTGAATGCACACAGTAAAATGTTCAAACAACACAGGTTTCCAGTGAAAAGTAAATCTCCCTTGTTCTACTCCCTCAGTCCTCCAGTACTCTATCCCTGAGGGAAACCCTATTAACAACTTACTGAGTTTCCTTCCAGAGATATTCTAAGCATGTATGGATGTATATATTTTATTTTTTATTTTTTTTAAATATATATTATTGATTTTTTACAGAGATGAAGGGAGAGAGATAGAGAGTTAGAAACATCGATGAGAGAGAAACATCGACCAGCTGCCTCCTGCACATCTCCCACTGGGGATGTGCCCGCAACCCAGGTACATGCCCTTGACCGGAATCAAACCCGGGACCTCTCAGTCCGCAGGCCGACGCTCTATCCACTGAGCCAAACCGGTTTCGGCTGGATGTATATATTTTAAACACATAAATAGTAGCATATCATATATACTATTCAATACCTTGCTTTTTTCCACTTAACAATGTACCGTATAGGTTGTTCCATATCAATATGTATAAACTAGAAGCCCAGTGCATGAAATTTGTGCATGGGTGGGGTCCCTCGGGGTGGCCTTCGAAGATCAGGCCCTAGCTCGCGTCCCCAGCCTCACAGCCCTGTCTGGCACCCTGCCTTGGCCTGGCGCCAGCCGCTCACCTGCTCCACCATCCCGCCATGGTCCCGCTCTCATGGGGACCCATTGTGGCCAGCAGCACCTCCACTGTAGCCCACTGCCAGCACCGCTATGCCCGCCATGTTCCACACCACCCCCTGTTGGTCAGTGCGCATCATAGCGAGTGGTCAAACTCCAGGTCGGTCAAACTCCCGCCCGAGGGGACAATTTGCATATTAGGCTTTTATTATATAGGATATGTCTTATTCCTTGTAACTGTTGTACAGTATTACATTTTATGGCTATACTATCACCAGTTCCCTATGGATGGATATTTTGGTTGTTTCCAAACTCTTGCAAATACAAACAATGCTGCAAGCAATAATCTTATACATTCTTCTTTGTGTGCCTACAATTTATCAATAGGATAAATTCCAAGCAGGGTTGCTGTATCAAAGTTTAATAGATATTGCTAAGTTACCCTCCACGGTGGTTGTTCGGTTTTTCACTTCCACACACATTGAGGGTGCCTGTTCCCCCACAGTTGCTGAGCAATGGCTCTTGACATCTGCCTTAAGTTTCTCTGCTTCTGTCCTTCCTTCCTTCTCCCACCATTCTTTCTGTCAACTAGTTTATGATCTATACATTAGTATTGGCAGTTCCCCCTACATACAGGCAATTCCCTAGAAGCTACTGTTGCACTGCTGGAAAAAATTAAATAAAACTTGACACTTTTAGAGAAACTGAGGGTTCACCAGCTGAATAATGGGGGGAAAACTTTTAAAACTACCATCTGTTTAGAGGACTAGAAATTGGGAAATAAGTGGATAGGTTCTTGGGATGTGGCCCAGTTATAGTAAATTATAAATCCTCACATGACATGAATGTTTTCATTCCTTTATTATACTTTCTAAAGTTCACATGGTAATCACTTTTGTGTGAAGAAAAAAAACAACACAAAAAACTCTTAAAAACTTAAAAGCCTCTGACAGTATTTGGGGGATTTCAGTCATTCAGTGTTAAAGCAAATTAATTCAACCAGATTGTTCTCTTTCTAACATGTGACACCCCCACCCTATGAGTCAATGATAAGTGTGATGGAGAACAGTGAACTTAAGTCATTTTGGAGTCTAGAGCACTTTGTACAAGGTGAATCTTTCTTGGATATAATGCTATGCAGTGTTGGACTCAGAGCAATTAAGACACTAGCTTTTAGAGATTTGGGACAGAGAAAACTGGGAGATTAAGGGGAGAGATGCCAATGATCAACCTGCCCTAATTCAGCAATTTGCTTTGGGCTAGCCTAGAGTCCAGGGAAGGAGGAAAAGTTTAAGCCAGCGATTTTCAATGGGTGTGCTGCAAGAATTTTTAAGACATGCAATACCTGATTTTTTAGTCAGGGGCACTGGCCTGTTTCCCTTAGATTGTTAAATTAAAAAATAGCTGTCCAGTGTGGCTGAATAAAAAATTATACCTATTTATTTTTGTCAGATCAGCAAAAAAAATCTTTTTGGGGTGTTCCCTGGAATTTTAGTAGTTTCTGTGTGCCATGAGATGGAAAAGGTTGAAAATAGCTGGTTTAAGCTAATACCCTTACTATTTGAGCTGTGCAAAGAAAGTAAATGGATATTTGCAGGTTCGTTTGGGGATCTGATCATCAGTCAAGATACATTTCTTGAACAATGATGAATTGCAGACACCCAATTTATGAGTGGAATTTTGAAATATTGCCCCATTTGTGAGTATGAAACTGCCTATTCTGAATTCAAACTTACACTGAGTGCCAGGAAGTGACACACTCCAAGTACAGTAGAAATAAGGTACATGGTCAAATTTATAAGGTCATAGAAGAGATGCCCACTATAGACGACATCAGTCTACGCAGGAGAATGTCCCAGAAACAGAAGTCAGTACGTGGAAATGTTCCCAGAGCAAAGTAGGAATCTGAAATTGTAAGGATGAAAATGGACTGCAACACAGTTGGTCATCAGAAGATGTGGGTTGACATGCAATCTAGAAAAATGTAAGATGGCGACTATTTGTTACTGTTTATGGAATTTGGCCAAGGAAAAGATCCTCTATTATAAATATTCTGATAATTCTTTCTGATGAGAGAGGACTCGTAGGTCTTTATCACGTCTGATAAGGTTTACACCATCTAGTTCCTATTCCTCAGATTCTATATTAATCAAAAAACTTTCCAATTATGCATTAGGTTTCAGAAGAACCTGTAGGTTTAGAAAAGGGTATCTAGAAGAGAAAAACATCATATCTGATCCATTTGACAGACACATTCTCCTATGTAAATATTTTTAATGTCATTTTAGTATATAGATTAGGTTCCTGGGAATTTGACTGGTGTGAACTAATTCCTACGGTCTGTTTACCCCATGTGAAACTGTGAGTATAGGAGAAATATTACACAAATGTTTATTCTGATATTAATGATCACCTTTTTTTTTTTTAAATATATTTTATTGATTTTTTACAGAGAGGAAGGGAGAGGATAGAGATGCGTGTCAGAGGTGACAGGCGAACTCATTTTTTTGGTTGATTTTTCTTTGTTAAATGGCATTTAAATATGTAAAATAAATATCAAAAATATAAGTCTTTGTTTTACTATGGTTGCAAATAACAAAAAATTTCTATATGTGACATGGCACCAGAGTTAAGTTAGGGTTTTTAAAAATGCTGACAGGTCGAGCTCAAAAGGTTCGCCATCACTGCTATAGGTACAAATGAGGGGTTTGACTACATGGTCTGATTTCTATATATGTACAGCTGAGGTTTAGATCCGAAGCACAAACCCAATAGCCCTTTCAACCTGCTAGTATTATTACGGAATAGGCTCTGAAAGAGACTTCCATTTAAATACAATGCACCTAATGTTCCCTTTTTAAAATAAGTTATTTTTTAAGAAAGCAAAGCATCATCTCCTAAATCATCCATTTCATAAATTTGGATTTTTGTTTCTCTCATTAAAGTGGGGCATTCATGCCCAAATATCCTTAGCCAAAGAAAAGCTAATATTGCAATTCCATCATCACTGGGAATGGAGAGCTGTATTTACAAATGTGCTCCACCTTAATGCTGTTCCCTAGCAGATGAGATCTACTACTAGAGATGAACTGCCAACATGGATGGGCATTAATTCAGAAACTAGGCAGAAATAAAAATACACTGACAGATGAGGAAGCCTATGAAGTAGACTTTGCAACAGTGGCCCCAGAAGGTGGGGAGACATGCTATAGTGAAATACCATTATCCCTATGGTTGGAGGGCACAGTTCTACTTAGAGGCTCTCTAGGTTTTTCCTCCTCCTCCAATCATAATATCACTCAGTGTGCAGAGTGTTTTCACCTGCTTTCTCATCTTCACATCACCCCTATGAAATAGGTAGATCAAGAATTATCCTTTATAATAAAGAGCTAATGTGCTAATTAGACTGAACAGCAGAACGACCGTCCGGGTCTGAAAGGTCTGGGCCCCTTGCATGAATTTCGTCCATTGGGCCTCTAGTTTTATTATAACCATCTTACAGACAAGGAGACCAAAACTCAGAGAACTTAGGTGACTTGTCCAAAGTGAGATTTGCTTATCTTCAGCTCATCAGTCTCATAAAACATATGTTATCACTTCAGAGACCTGACTGGCACTGTGCTGAAAACACTTCACCTAATTTCCTTGTTTTTCTCTTTTGAAACTGTGGCTCTTTATCTCTATCTTTGCTAACACTGTCTTCCTGATTAAAATGAAATCAAGGATGAGTCCTTACCCTGTAATTTCATGTACAGTGTCTGGTACTGTGGCCACTGGCCTCTGAAGTAAGGAACTATCATTTTCACATGGACTTAATCAAGACATGGGAGAGTAATTTAGAAACATCAAGTAGGACTTACAGACCTCAATTTAATAAGCAATGATAAGAGACCATTCAAAATGGAATAGCAACCACTGTCTGAATTGGATTAGGTCAATTCTGGAGGCAAGTGAAGTTCATTCCAGACTACAGCCAGAATTTGTCTGCATCATCTCATCACTTCCATAGCTGGTCTGAGTCACCATCATCACTCTTTGGATTTCTGCAATAGCCTCCTAACAGGTGACTCTGCTTCTACCCTTGCCCCGCTACAGTCTCTTTGAGTGATCCTTTAAAAATAAAACCATCATGTCATTCCTCTGCTCAAAACCTTGTAATGGATCCCCATTTCTTTTTTAAAAATATGTTTCTATTGACCTGAGAGAGAGAGGCAGGGAGAAGGAGAGAGAGAGAGAGAGAATCATCAATTGGTTGCCTCCCCAAAGCACTCAACCAGGGATCAAACCCAGGTATGTGCCCTGACCAGGAATCCAACCCAGTGACCTTTCAGAGCACAGGATGGGACACACTCAACCACCTGAGCCACACCGGGCAGGACTGGATCCCCATTTCAATCAGAATAAAAACCAAAGTCCTTAAATCGGCCTACAAGGCCCTCCCTCAGTGATATGGGCCCATTTCCTTCAGTGGTTCTCAACCTTGGCTGCACATTAGAATCACCTGGGAATCTTTTTAAAATCCTGATTTCTGGGCCTCATCCTCCGGAAATTCTGTTTCTTTGTTACTAATGTTGTGGCCCCACCCCATAACAAAGAAACAGAATTTCCAGAGGATGAGGCCCAGAAATCAGGATTTTAAAAAGATTCCCAGGTGATTCTAATGTGCAGCCAAGGTTGAGAACCACTGCTTTAGATCCTTATCTCCTACTCCTGCCCCCTTGGTCACTCTACTCCAATCTCACTGGCCTCCTTGCTTGTCCTCTAAAACTGTAACATGCCAGACATCTCTGCCTATACTCTAGCTCTCGCCTCTGCCTGGGTCACTACAACAGGTCCTTGAATAACATCATTTTGTTATAACATTGATGGGGAAAAAAATTGATTTCTACTAGGGCAGTGATGGCGAACCTATGACACGCGAACTCATTTTCTTGGTTGATTTTTCTTTGTTAAATGGCATTTAAATATATAAAATAAATATCAAAAATATAAGTCTTTGTTTTACTATGGTTGCAAATATCAAAAAATTTCTATATGTGACACGGCACCAGAGTTAAGTTAGGGTTTTTCAAAATGCTGACACGCCGAGCTCAAAAGGTTCGTCATCACTGCACTAAGGCCACTGTCTGTGTGGAGTTTGCATGTTCTCCCCAGTCTGCAAGGGTTTCCCTCCGTACACTGGTTTCCTCTCACACCCCAAAGACGTGCATATTACGTGACTTGGTGTATCTGCATTGCTCTAGTCTCCATGTGGGTATATGTGAGGGTGCCCTGAAGTGGAAGGGCTCCCTGTCCAGGGGTTTCCCCGCTGAGTTGCTGGGATAGGCTCTGGCCACCCTCAACCCTGAACTGGCATAAGCAGCTTAGAAAAGAATTATCTTGCTTTTTTAAAATTAATATTTATTAAATATATGTATAGTTCACATTTATTTCAAAGTTTAATATTAGAAGTGTTTGGGGTCTTTAGAAATTTGGTGATTTTTTTTTATCAGAAATATGCCGTAGAAACCCAATTCTTGTTTATATCAGTTAGCCTATGGGACAACTGGTTTTGTTATATGTCATTTCGCCTTAAAGTCACAGTTTCCAAACCTAGCGACAACATTAGTGAGGACTTACTATACCTTCCAGGTATCTGCATGGCTATTCCCCTCACCTCCTTCAAGTCTTGGCTCAATTCTCACCTTCTCAATGAAACCAGCCTACACTGCATGTTGCCAAACCACTGCCCACCTGCACCGCATCCCTAGACTGCTCCCTTACTTTCCTCGACTTTTTAAAATATTATTTTTATTTTCTTATTGATTTAAGATAGGAAGGGAGAGGAAGAGGGAGAGCGAGATAGAAACATCAATGATGAGAGAGAATCATTGATCGGCTGTCTCCTGCATGCCCCACACTGGGGATGGAGCCCGAAACCTGGGCATGTGCCCTGACCATGAACCGAACAGTGACCTCCTGGTTCATAGGTCAATGCTCAGCCACTGAGCCATGCCAGCTGGGCACCTTCCTCTACTTTAATTTTTTTTCTTTGTAGCACATACCATAAAATTTACTCTATTTATTGTGGTCTGCTTCCCCCTCCTCCCCTCAACCCTTTCTCTCCTTTATTCCTTCCCTGGCTAGAATGCATCCAACTGATATATCCAAAGTAATGAAGTAGTCTCTGGCACATAATAGATACAGGATTCATTTTTAATTATTTGCAGAATGAATGAAATTGAGGAGTGCATGTAGCTGGGTGGTCTTTCCTTCTTCTTCCAACTCCTTTGGCTTTCCCCGATCCCCTCTCAGAGTAGTTGACTTACACTCCACCAGACAAACTTGCAGCAGTCATTAAGGCAAATGATAATATTTCATGCTCCTCCTTGGACTTTGGAGCCATCTTTTTAAAAGATGGAAACTTTGAACAGTGTTACGCCCTCCATCCTTATTATTATTATGGCCTTAAGAATGATAGGCAAACAAGATATGGTCTACTCCTCCGCTTTGATCCTACATTAGTCAAAGGCCTCCTGGGGATTTTAATCCATATCTCTTATTAGTATCTCTGTTCTCATTTACTCTTGGCATTATTTGGAGCTTACACCCTAAACCTATGGACAGGTCAATGGGGCCACAGTGAGAAGTTTAGTATCATCTTGGGTAGAACTAGGGTCTTTTGTCAGATAAAATCAAATGCAGGATAAAGTTTTCTCAGTTGTCCTTTCATTCTTTCTTTTCTTATAGCTTTTTTACCAGGGATCTTCCAATGTAAGGTCTACCCAGCAATGAGGACTTCATTAAAGGCTTTTCCCACCACTACCACCTCCATAACTCCAGGGAATAAAGAAGGAGAGAAAACTACAAGTATTGATGATTTTTCTACCCCTTTGAAACAACAAGGTACAGAATAAGTAATGGTGAGACAAGAACAGAAAGAAAAACATTTTTAACGCCAACATTAGCTTGGGTCTCCTAGGATTTTCCTGGAGGTTGAGAAGTTACACAGAGTTTCTATTAGAAAAACCACTCCATTTCTTATGGAAAAAATCAGTTTCTCTATAAAGAAGGTCCCAGAAATGTTTGTAGTTTGACACTATAGACATGTGCTGCATAATAACATTTTGGTCTATGATGGACCTACTATATATACAGTATAGTACATAATACTTGATAATAACAAATGACTGTTACTGCTTTATGTATTTATTATTCTACACTTTTTATCATTGCCTTAGAGTGTACTCTTTCTACTTATAGGAAAAGTTTGCTGTAAAACAGTATGTTGTGTTAAGCCAGCAGCAGCCTCATACATCCTGTGTTTACTGTCTCTTGATTATACCCTTTTTTCTTGTGCTTGATTTAATCTCAGGTTGTTTTATAAATTTCGTGTAGCTTAAATGTAGTGTTGTATCAAGTCTACAGTAGTGTACAGTAATGTCCTAGATCTTCACATTCACTCACCCACTCACTCACTGACTCAACCAGAGCAACTTCCAGATGTGCAAGCTCCATTCATGGTAAGTGCCCTGTATAGATATACCATTTTTTATCTTTTACACTGTATTTTTACTGTACCTTTTCTATACACAAATACCAATGTGCTACAATTGCCTACAGTATTCAATACAGTAACATGCTGTACAGGAGCAATACACTATACCATATAGCAGGGGTCCTCAAACTTTTTAAACAGGGGGCCAGTTCACTGTCCCTCAGACCGTTGGAGGGCCGGACTATAGTTTTAAAAAAAACTATGAACAAATTCCTATGCACACTGCACGTATCTTATTTTGAAGTAAAAAAACAAAACGGGAACAAATACAATTTTTGTATTTGCATGTGGCCCGCGGGCCGTAGTTTGAGGACCCCTGCCATATAGCCTAGGTGTGTAGTAGGCTACACCATCTAGGTAGTGTAAGTGCACTCTCTCATTTTTGTTCAGTGATGGAATTGCCTAATGATGCATTTCTCAGAATGTATCCAGGTTGTTAAGGGGCATATGACTGTATTAATAGTGCTTTACCTCAAAAACAATGAGCTAATCTTGCAGCCAGATTTGGGGACAGAATGAAATGTATTTATGTGGTAGGTAATACCAGCCACTGCATGTATAGACAGGCGACATTTACACACTAAGCAATTATTATAGTGATGGCAACAACCAAGTGCATGTTTCATCTGCACGGTTTTTGGAAATGACCTTCCCTAAATTGGCCAGAACTCAAATTCTGTAAGATTCTGGCTTGGGTTACATCCTAGTTCCTACCGGGAGAAAAATAAATGTGAGACTAGTAATAACAAGATGCATATAAGCCATTTGCCCCCAAATTTGACTTATGACCTAGGAGCAATGCCAACTCACCTTTGTTCCTCCTATGCCCCACTAAAGCCACAAGGAGCAAAGGAGGGTAATTTTCTTTTTCTAAAATATATTTTATTGATTTTTTACAGAGAGGAAGGGAGAGAGATAGAGAGTTAGAAACATCGATCAGCTGCCTCCTGCACATCCCCCACTGAGGATGTGCCCGCAACCCAGGTACATGCCCTTGACTGGAATCGAACCTGGGACCTTTCAGTCCGCAGGCCGACGCTCTATCCACTGAGGCAAGCCAGCTTTCGGCGAGGGTGATTTTCTAGGTAGAGACCCTGAGAGGGCTGCTGGTGAAAGAAGAGTTTAGAACTCCTTGGGCACTCCCACCCCTTTTCCTCTCTTGAGAGCAGTGCAAGAATGGGTCCTACTTGATCATGGAAAAATCCCAAATCCCAGGGAAGGTGACTCTCTGAGATTAGAGCAGAGCCCATGATGCCCACCCCACTCCTGACTCTAAGTCTGAACTGGAAACTGGGCCTCCGCCTCTGAATCTAGCTGGACCCCTCTTAGTCATGTGAGCCAAGAGTCCTTCAAATCAGAGGGTTGATCTCTTCCCTCTCTCAAATTCTCTTTCTCCCTCTTCTACTCCTCTCTCTCCTTTTAGACACAGATGAAAATCTAGAGAAGAGGCAGAAATGGAGCATTGTGGTCAAATTTCTGATTGCTGGCACTCTGTTGTTCAGTGGAATCGCTATTACAGTGTTTGTCATTTTTGAAGTTCCATGTCCTGTAAGTTTGCTGATGTATTGGGTCCTTGGGCTTGATCTATAAAAATCTCCTTTTCCAGAGGCAGGTTGGCATAATAAGAAAAACATACTGTAGACTTTGGAGTTTGGACAGACCTACCACTCACACTCACTGAATGGCTTCGAGAAAGTTGCTTGACTTGTCCAACCTCAGTAGTCTCATCTTTAAAATGGGACAAATGATATTTGCCTCTTATGGTGGTTATGAAGGTTAACTGAGATCCTGTGTGACAGGTGCCTGGCACATAGGAGGTCCTTGCTAAATGTGAGTTCCTTTCCTTTGCTGTACTTGTACATTCTCTAGAGAGGACAGAGCCAATAGGACAGAATAGTTTCTTTAGAAGAGATAATTTTCTTAAATGGTCCAACATGAGGTTTGGAAGATAATCAAATGCATACCAGCCACCTAAAGTTAATACCAGTCATTTTTCTCCCCTCAGTGTCAATGCCTAAGAACCAGAGAAATATGCCAATGCCGGCGATTGTGGGGAAGGCAAAAGAAGGAAGGCCAACAACCTGAGGCAGCTGAACCCCAGCCACACTCTCAGCCAGAGAAGGAAAGTGTCCTCTATATGGTTTGTGCATTTGCTTGGAGAAAATGGGGCTAACATATAAGTGCTGGGAGACAGGAAGCTGCTTCTGTTACGAAGCAAATGTGGTTAATTGTTTTTATGTGTCAGGAAATAGGTAGGTATTTGTACTGCTATTTTCTTAACATTAGCCCAGCCATAACACGGTAGGGTACGTACTGAAAATGCAGATTCCTGGGCCCCAGATATAATGAATCAGCAGAATGAATCAGGAATTTTTAACATGCTCCCTATGTAGAGGTGACTTTACTGTAAAATTAATGATGCTTAAGCTTCAGGAACCATGGGATCTTGTATCCAATTTTGTATTTTAAAAAGTATATCATTTTTCTTTTTAAAAATGTTTTATTGATTTCATTTTTTGTTGTTGTTAATCCTCACCTGAGGAAATTTTTTCCATTGATTTTTAGAAAGAGTGGAAGGAAGGGGGAGAGACAGAAAGAGAGAAACATTGATGTGAGAGAGATACATCAATTGGTTGCTTCCCACATGCGCCCTGACCAGAGCAGAGGATGGAGCCTACAACCGAGGTACGTGCCCTTGACTGGAGTCGAACCCCAGACCCTTCAGTCTGAGGGCTGGCATTCTATCCACTGAGCCAAACCGTCTAGGGCTTTTTTTTTTTTTTAATAAGTCTAGGGCTTTATTAATTTCAGAGAGAGGAAGAGAGAAATAGAAATATCAATAATTAGAGAGAATCATCTATCAGTATGCCCCTTACTGGGATGGATCCCGCAACCCATACATGTGCCCTGACTGGGAATCAAACTGTGACCTCCTGGCTCATGGGTTAAAGCTCAGTCACTGAGCCACTCCTGCTAGGCTGTTTTCTTTTTCTTAAGAAAGGCTCCCCCAAACCTATAAGAGCTCCAGAGACCACAACTATGTGTCCATTCCTGCCCTTAGGTAACTCTTACATACACCAAAGTTTAAGAACCGCTACACTTGAACACAGTTTGATTTTTGGCAAAACAGCTTTTTTCCTCCATACCCTTGGGTTTCCTGACAAGATTATAAATTCATATTGCCCTTTAGTGTCTAAAACGGACACTACCCGGCTGGTTCAGCTCAGCTGCTTTAAATCCAATTTCCCCATGAAGAGTGGATTCAGCCTTTGAATATAAGAAATTGATGGGCACCTTCTCTACAACAACTACAAGACAAAGAGACTAGGTCTCCAATACTTTCTAAATTAAAAATGGTACCCACTTTTGTAGAATTACAGCATTAAGAATGGGTCTCAAAGATTAAGTGTCCAGGATGGTACACATGCTGCTACCCTTTAATTCTGTGTTGGCTGCACATTTCAATAATCAACCATAGTGCAACTAGAAGATGAATAAGTTCTGGAAATCTAATGCATAGAATAGTGAGTACAGTTAACAATACTGTATTATGTACTTCAAAATTGCTAAGAGACTAGATCTTAAATGTTCTCACCACAAAAAAGAAAAGATAA